AGATAGAATCAGTATTTGATTACGTGTGATAAGATAAGGTGTTTTAGGATCAAATTGTATTGTAATATGTTAAGTTTTATTGAAATGTATGACTCTGTAAAAAAGATTATGTGTATGGACACGTGAACTGTAAATGATCAAGTTGCTGATGAAGTCCCCAGTAAGGGACGAAACGTACAACTAGTTCTAATTAATTGTTCAAAAGATTTATTAACCGTCTATAGTTCCCTTTGAGACTTATATATTAATAACATATTTGTGGACAAGAATATTGATAATTAAATTATTATTATTATTATAATAATAATAATATAATCTAATTGCATTTTTTTCGTCCATATATGCCTGCACCTTAATACTATATTTATTGTTTAATATTTACTCACTATGTGAACGTATTTTATATTAAATTATTCTCAAGCATGCATACGTCGACATATGAAGCAAATTATTTTGGAATATATCGGATATTACGATTACGTCGATGGAATGTAAGCATGAAATTTTTGTTCGAGGAAAAGATTCCTTTCTACTGATACTTATCCGTAATTTCAAATTTCAAATCTGTCTATATATTTTACGACGATTTATAGGAAGGAATCTTTACTATCGAATTAATTTTATTTCGATATGTTGTCTTTTCATGATTATAATCTAAACTATTGACCCCAAATTATAAAATGCAACTGCACCTGGCACGGATCTGCTGCCTGAACCGAGTCTGTGTGCATTACAAACTCGATAATAATGACACTTATACTATTACAAAAATATTATTAATAATAATAACAATATCGAGGATAGAAAAAAAGAAGAAATCGAAAAGGACGAGGCGTGTCCGGTGCATTCGTCATCATCATTCTTTTGCAAGGTTTCAAATTTCTTTTGGCTAAAGAACCAATCCCACAATTCTAACTCATAGATCAAGTTTTTTGGCAAGCATTGTCTGCAAAAAGACACTCATTGGCGTTAACGAATGTTTAAGACATACGAGGATCACCGTTGGTCACGTGAATCATGTCATCTTGTAAATACCTTGTAGTAAGAATGCGTTAACGCGAGAGAAACATTCGTTAATTTTTGATTAGTTAAGAAAACTTGTCGCTATTAATTTCATACTAATCAAAATGTAAGACAAATGGTGATGATTTCATCAGATTATCATCGTCTATTACGTATGCACGCGAAAATTCAATGTTTAAAATATCTCTTTTTCTTTTTTTTATTAAAATTATACACATACTCTATAAATTTATTTTCGAATAATTTTGTCTTTGACACGCCTCGTACTTGCTACAATCGTATAATCCTAGAACGCAAAATATTCTATTATTAGAAAATGTTATTAGAAAAATGCGTTCAGGGACAAAAAAAAAACCAATCCGAAATTGTAACAATTCGTAATGATAATTATCCAAGCGTTATCACGTTAATGCGAATACATTTGTATTACTGATTTTTAATCCCATTTATATCGGTATAATAGCGTACATTTAATAATATCGTTAATTAATATTCTGGTAAGAACGAGCCTCGAATAGCAAACAAGGATCACCTTGTATTTGTCTTACAACGAATCCTTCCATCGTTTTATTCGTCCATGTCCATTCCTCTCTCGTGAGGTATCATTTAATTATTTTCTTCTCTTTCCTTTTCTTTTCTTTTCTTTTCTTTTCATATCTTTTCTTTTCTTTTCTTTTCTTTTATTGTGCCGTCTTCTTCAATTTCTTCTTCTATTTTCTCTATTTGCTTATTTCTTCGTCGTATTCCTCAAATACACAAACACAATTCTATCTATCAATCCTATATTTTTATTCTTTTCTCGTATCGCGGTTATTTTACATTGTTAAAATGATATAATTTGAGCATAGACATTAACACCGAAACACTCGTTCGTGTCTACGTAATAGAATTCTTATCAATTAACGATTGGGGGGGAGGGGGGAGGGGGGGAGGGAGGATAGATTTTTGTGAAAATCTCATTCGGAAGAAAAACAAAAAGAAGAATTTTTTTCTAACGGGAAAAATTTTTCGTCGAATGCTTATATCCGCATCTATGATTTTTTTACAGTTGGGAAAGTTACGACCTGGGGAGGTGTTGGACGCTAAGGTGAGATTTGTGTTCGCTATAACACAAAGCTTACCTACCAAGTACCATCACCTGCAACATTTTTATTATTTTATCGTTTTACAGCTGCTCTGTTTCTTATTCCTATTGTTTCTCACTTTTGAACCATAAACTATTTTACCCCCTACTACCCCCTCTATAATTTATGTATTTTATTTCTTATTCTTCGCAATCTTCATCCCTTCGATTGAATTTTTATCGACAATCACACACGAATCACATTCCGCTTGGCGTTTTAATTATGATATTAATCTTAATCAATCTTTTATTGTATATGAAATCCTTAGATCGATAATTTGTTATTAATTTTCTTTCATATTGCAATTCATGTATGATATATAATTGGATCGCAAAACGAACGTGATTCCATTTCTTAAATGTACATGCTCAGCTTAACGAAAAGTGTAATCAAAACAAAATAATGAAGTTTCAAGTAACAATGATAACTAAAAAAAACATGCCGAATGGCATAAGCCCCTGCCACCCTCAGCCCTTTGACCCCTTGCCAAAAGTAACGACACGTTATCACGAGACGAAAATAATGATAATAATCATTTTGTAACATTTTTGTTTAGCCAGCTAAATTTTGTGGGGCTGATTATACTATCGTTGCCGCTGCTATCGCATTCTTACACTACCATCCGCAACCCCCTTTGACAGATACAATTATTATTTGATTTATTTCGATAAGGATATCAACGTTTTGATACCACGATGATGTTACATCATTTTCTTATCTTCTTTGTTTCTCTTTATTATTATTATTGTTCGGACAGGTTACGATACGTGACGATCGACTATGGCCCACCAACCAGACCACAAGCCTGACCCCCATTGATCTTTCTTACTATTTCTATCTCTACATTTTTTTTATTTTTCATGCACCACGAACAGAATAAGTACGGGCGCCCAGGTGAACTGCAGGAGAAAGAGGTTAGCAACAAATTCCTCGTGAATATGTCGCGCACGTTATCTCGAGTAGAATTTTTGTTCATTTCATTTGTTCTTTATTTTGTTCCATTGATGAGTGCATTATATAAATATATATATATACTGATTTGTAGAAAGAACAATTTAAAATGATCTTTGTTTGACTTCGTTCTTTGTCGGAGATCGAACTAAATGAAAAAATTCATCGCGAAGGTTTCAAATGAATGGAACCTACGCCGAATATGACACGTTCGTCCGACTAAATACGGAGTCATACTACTGCGTTAAATTAATCGTTATGCCCGCTGTACAGATACTGCTTAATTCGAGCGAATACATCTGTGTATATTTAATTACTTGAGAAAATTGGATGACAATAATGGTGGTAAGATTAGTTTTCTTTTTATCCTAAATACACATTTGTTTAAACATCCTTTATCTGTTATTATCAAATTATTAAAGTATATATCATATATAAATATTCCGAAGTGTTCCCTAAACTCGTACAACCCTATGTCGAAAGATGTACCACCATTAGTGATTCAAGTAGCAATCAAATCGTGTCATTTATTGTACATACAAAATTTGCTGCTTGATTTAATATTGAATATATTATATGTGTATATAAAACATAAATAATATTTCGTGTATATTCGTTAAGTACAATTGTAAGGATAATTTTCGTGCTCACCTTACGTGTGTTCATCGTTTATTTGTTTCGCATTAGATCTAGTTCAAAAAAAAAAAAAACAATAAAACATGCTATTCTGATCATATAGATCGATGCATAATAATATGTGCCACGGACAAGGCGTTATACAATAAACTATTTAATATTTCTCGATTAATGATTAATTATAATATTTCTCTTTACCACCATTTATTTTCAACAATAATATTATAATATTCTCGTCTTGGCCGTGGTTTGTAAATATAATTTATCTCTCTCTTGTCACTTTGTAAATAATCTTAATTATACGATTTTATTGGTAGATGACATTAGTTACTACAAATTGTTTGTCATCCTCATTGGATCCTGAAAAAAAAAAAAAGAGAAAAAAACTATTTGGTATACTAAAAGAGATATTTTCTAAGTAAAAAGTGGTAAAATAACATCCCCCACCCACGACTGTTAAGCCCGTCTACGCGAATCTGTCTACTACTTTTCCTTCATTCTTTTCTCATTTCTGTCTTCACATTTTTCCATTTATATATTTCCATTATCTAACAATATCTCTCAACGACGAATTATTATTATGAATTATTTGGACGTTCATAAATTATTTGACGATCTCTATCGACGATATACTTTTAACCAATATTAATTCTATTTGTGTTAACAATATATCCAACAAATGAAAACAAAACTCTTAATCGAATATAAAACAAATCCCTTTTTAGCTTTTAGTTAATATCAGCGATTTAATGTACGAACGTTTAACGCGTTTTTGACAGCAACAGCAGCACCAGCAGCAACCAGCAGCTTATTTTTCTTTGCATACATTTCACTATAAAATGAATGAATGAATTTATTGTTAGTCCATTAAATTTAATTACTTTAAACAAATAATGGCGTATTGACTGAGTGGTCTTACGAAATATTATATCCATGACATTCCCCGATAACTTGCAATTGTACAAATTTCGATTATTGATAATTAAATTGTCCTTTGCTTTTTGTTTCTATGTCTGTCTTTCTCTCTCTCTCTTTCTTTCTCTCGTTTTTTCTTTCTTTCTTTCTTACTTTCTTTCTCTCACTTTTTCTCTCTCTATCAGTACGCCAAATCATCGCGAAAATCACACATATCTTCTTTCATATTTCATAAATAATTTCATGCGATATGTTCGTCTAATATAACGTTTATCATTCATAGATCATGCGTGTTTAGGAGATATTACAATCTCCAGAAACAAATAAATATGTAAATACATAGAAACCTATATCATCATCGCATACCTTCACCCAAGTGTGTCCAACCACCCCTGTATAAATTAATATGTTCTACGTAGATATGTTCATCTGTCGGCTTCATGAATTCAAGAACATTTATACTAGTTTCTTGAAAATGATTGTAGCTATAAAATAAAAACGTAATAGGATCAATTCGATAATTCATTAAATGTGAAATAATCGACTTTAATCGTCGAGACGCCATTTTAATGAATTCATCGATCGATCTTAGTTTTTGTTTGCATTAGAAACAGTTCAATACCCTTTGTGTATTATTCCTATCGTGCTAATAGAGGCATCCTTGTAGAGGATGAGTATAATAGTGTCATTAACGGGATTGTATTCACTTACGTGACTAACGTTTAGACATTAAATGCTTATTTAACAATGTGACTTATTGTTGTAACTAACAGCTGTATCTAATCGTAGATAATGCCAAAAAAAAACAACCAAAAAGAAAAAATGATCACGCGAATTCGTACGAATAATCTGATCTATACATCGATATCTATCCACACAAAAAAAAAAAACAAATAATACATTTTATTAAACGTTAATATTCGACAAAAGCACAATGACAGATTATCTCGTACGGAATCGTTTAATTTATGCCTACGATACGATAAATGCTTTACGTAAAAGAATTACCTTGTTTTTTTGGCTAATATTTATCTTGGAAAAAATCAAAATCTGTTATATTATAATAAACGAATAACGAATACAGAGGCGTCGTCCAAGCACGGACGTAAGGAGACCCAGCGTGGCGGACCTCGAGAATAAAATCAATCAACCTAGCACACCTCTTCGAGATGTTGGACCACCAGGACCACCTCAAATCGTTGATGTCCAGGAATCATACTCCGCCGTCGAAGGTAAGTACTTTTAATTAACGATGATTAAAACATTCATACATAAGAATAGTTTAGGATTCGTGACCCAAAAAATTGAGCTACTTTTATTATATCCTTTTTCTTTTTTTTTTTATAATAGATTCGACGGCGTACCTCACCGTTGCGGTGGAGGGTACGCCTGCGCCGACCTTCAAATTCTACAAGGGAATTACCGAGATCATCGAAGGTGGTCGTTTCAAATTCCTCACTGACACGGAAACCAATACAATCACCCTATGTATGAGAAAAACTAAACCCAACGATGAAGGCACTTACAAGATAGTCGTTAGCAATATCCACGGAGAGGATTCTGCCGAAATGCAGCTCTACGTATCTGGTAAGTATCATTTACATAATATAATACTCTTTTATATATATATGTCAAAGCCGGAAATCAGTCATTGCTAGTAATTCCTCGGCATTCTCATTGAATTTTATAGAATATCAAAGTATTATATTCGATGCTTAGAAAAAACTTTCCAAAAAATGTCTTATTTCCGATTTCATCTGAAGGCTCTTTGAATTCATAATAATGCCGAGGAATTACTTGCAATGACTGATTTCCGGCTTTGATGGTAACATATATATATAATGATTGATCTTTAGACGCCAGTGGTATGGATTTCCGTGCAATGTTGAAAAAGAGAAAATATCAAAAGTGGGCGAGAGAGGAAGCGGAACAGGAAAAGGTAGATTTGAAGGAAGTGGAAAAGCCTATGCCAGCTTTGAAGAAAGTAGAAAAGGTAATAATTATCATTTTTTCATCCCTTACATTTTACATTATATCGTAATTCTTATATAATTTAGCTGATTTTCAAAATGATATTATAAATGTAATAGAAATTAGTCGCACAAATAAATATGTTGGGATACAAATGTTATCTAATTAAGAAAGAACATTGCATCGTGCCAACGTGAAATGTGATATTTACAATAACACTTCACTAACAGCTCGGTGCACGGGGCATACAAAAAATATCGTGAATGATTAATGAATGCATCGTTGTTGTTGTTGTTGTTGTTGTTATTATTATTGTTGTAAAAACATCGTTCCAAGCTGCCGATTCGTTTGGCAAGTAAATATGTGTGTCAATTAAATGAAGGCACCAAAGGTACGACGAAGGGTAGCTTGGATCTAATCATATTGACAATTTTTTCAGACTTTCGAAGAAAGGGTGTACTTTTACCGAATGTGACGTTTCGGAAGATTTCATGATATTGTCAGTTGTTTCTTCTTTCTCTTTTTCTTCTTTTCTTATCTACATTCGACAACTCTCGTAGTCGTTGCATGGCAGGGAGCTGCATGGCAGCGAACTACATGGAAGGAGCTGGTACCAAGACGGCTTGGATATAGTCATCTTGTCGGAGGGTCAGGAAATCTATCGAATTCCTCTTGACAAGAAGGAAGAACCTAACTGGAGCTGGCTCAAGGTTTTCGAGCAACCCTATGTAGTAATTCCTGCTAAAAACGAAAACGAATTCTACCTTTTGAAAATATTATACGGTTCGGAATATATATATACATATATATATATATATATATATATATATACGCGCGTCGAAAGAATTTTAACTATTACGAGCGTTTTCGTCGTCTTGTCTACAACACACTTACATATTATACCTTTTCTTATATTATTTCTAATAGTTGCTAAACAAAATTCGGCATTACTTTGCACGGAGTTTTTAATCGTGTCAATTTTAATCACTTTTTCCTTATACATTTTTCATAATATTAACCATTTTTTGGTAGCTGCTAGCTAGTACCATTTTGTTTGAAATATTTTGGTAATATTCAATCGTTATTAGATATAACCGACGTTGAATAACGAACGATTGTTTATCCTTTTCCTTTTTTTAATAATCTATACGGTCACATTTTTGTATTTTCTTATCCCTTACCCTATGCATCGTCCATTGTATAATTTAGAGTTAATGCTGAGCTTCGTATATGTGTATGTCTACATTCGCACGTTACACTTTTACATATATAATTAACGAATCGGATGAGATGTATTATTTTAACACGTCTCGCGTTTCGTTAGATCACCGTCATCAAAACTGCACATATTTCTATTTTACTCACGAATCTTCACGCACACGCATCATACACGTTGTACATTCTGTGTTACTACGACTAACGCCTGGGAACGTTGTAATAATAGTTTAATGTTATTAATATCGGTTGAAAATTTATAAATGCATCGCGTAAGTGTAACATTTATCTATGTGAACGGGAGAACAAGCATTAACTCTAAATTAAATGTAGTAAAAATCGTATTGTTAAAAAAAGAACAAAAAAAAAAAAAAACATGAAGGATCTCTCGCAACCGATATTTTCAAAACTGTCGATATTGCAAATACATTGTCATTAATTAACTTGCTTTTGAGCATGATCTAAATTAAATGGATTAAAAAAAAAAAAAAAAAAAGAACGCACACATGCACACGCAAAGAAAAAGCTGAAGAAAATCGGTTATTCGAGTTCCTTGAAAATCCTAAATTTGAATGGTAAGAGTGGAATTAACGGTCATGTGTGTGTGCCTCGCATGCAGGACGTCTTCGACATTCATCGCAGGCCAAGTTTGCAGGAGCTAATCGTCGACTGGCCGATACTAGTGGCAAGAATCAAAGAAAAGGTTCGCGATAAATCTTAAGGCAAATTATTCCTCGCATTCCTTGATTTTCCAGTTGAACAGCCTCGAAATCAAGCCTCTCTACCACCAATGCCCTGCCAGGCTTTTTATTGTTTTTATTACGCGTGTATTCTGGTGAATTATCAATCCATTTCTATTTGTATCGTTAAATTTACGTTAATTCACCCGAATATATATATATATATATATTTTTTTGGAATTTTGACAATTGTCCTCAAGCAAAAAGTCGAAAATTTCTTTGAAATCTCCTGCTATGAGCTTTCATCATTGATTATTATCATTGATTGTTCGATTAATTATAAGATTATTATTATTATTATTAATAATCACAATATTGTGCTTTAGCCCAGCGCGCTTTGATTTTTTTAACGGAATGCTAGCTTCTCAATACCGTAAGTGTATAATAATATGGTATTACATTTCTAGTGTTGTATCATTTTAATCCCATTATACTCATATCAATTAATGATCGTTTTTTTAGAGTTATCTATATTGTGGCACTAACTAAAAAAAAATATAGTTCATTTATTAAATTGATGTTAGAGAGAATCGAAATAAAATGAAAATAATTCTATTCGTTCGTTCCTTCTTAAGCGACACCATTTTTCGTAAGATAAAGGAAATCTTTAATTTGTTTAAGACGATCCTTAAGAATTTGTTCAGCAAAGTTAACTGTAGTTGTGGATTTTATTATTTTTAGAATAGTGGATCTCGTAGGCCCTCTCTGGCAGAATTAATACCCGACTGGCCGACGCTGCATCACTTCACCAAGATGGAGGTTGGATTATTCTTCGATGGCGTGATATATCATTATGATTTCACGTTACATTTAATGCCTGTTTATCTGTCGCATCCATCACTCGATAGCCTTGGAAAATTCTATACTCTATTCTTACTCTCGCTACAGACTCCCTACTAAGGGTATCTACTTCCTCAACTTTATGTTTCTTTCTCTATCGGAAACTTTCACAGTTAATGTTATTCTTCTTTACTTTCCATTCATTATTTTTCACAATCTATCAAATTATTAAGCAGATAAAACACATCTTTCTATGAATGCATAGATCACATTCTCACAATTCTTCATACGATTATCCAATTATTTCGTCAGCACAAACATTGATTATATTATTATCTTATTTTGTTTGAAGGTATAGCGATTCCAAATTATATTTCCCAAATATTATTCATTAATTAAATAAGACAAATTATTGATTTGATTAAGTTTGAACGTACAATTGTTACGTGATTTTATTGGAATCTCTATACCATTATCTGTACTTTCTCGATGTTGTTTCTTACGTTTAAACAATATCTCATCTTCTTCATCTTCTTCTTCTTCTTCATCTTCTTCTTCTTCTTCTTTTTCTTCTTATTCTTCTTCTTCTTCTTCTTCGATATCTATTAAGCACGTATTGTAAATTTCGACGAGATATGTGATGGCACTGTTTTCTTCGTCGACCATAGATCTTCTGTGACAAAAAATTCTTTAATAATAATACTTTCAATTGTGTCTTTAACGAGCATGACGCGGTGGAGGCTTTAAAATAAATATTAGTCACCCTACGTTTTGTTCTGCAAGAAATCTATGGTGCAATTTCTTTTTTTTCTTCTTTTTCTTTCTCGTCGTTTATGTTTTTTTTTTCGGAGCTTTGGAGTCAAAAATATATTTAGAGGGCAGCGTTGTTTAATATTTTTTCGTCGTTCTACGGATTCGTATTCGCTCAAAAGAAAAAAAAAAAATATAAATAAATAAAGAAAAAAGACGACGAATTTTTGGAATTTTTCTAATGTCGATATTACATCGAGCCTTGTATCTAATTGATCGATTTATTATTGTTTCGTAGAAACCGGAAACCTTCTTAAAGCCATTGGTGGATCAATATGCCAAAGAAGGAAAAGACAAAAAAGTCGTCTTCGAAGCTAACTTTTCTAAACCGAATTGTAAACCAAAATGGTTCTTCCGAAAAGATGTAAGAAAATCATCAAAAATATCTATATATTACTTCCTATTTTATTATTTATTATAATTATATTTTTAACGATCTATTATAATATCTATTATAATATATATTAATGCAAAGTCCTCCTCCCCCACCCACCCCAACAGGAACTTTTCCCCTCAGCGAAATACAAATTCAAAAACGAAGAAGATTCTTATCAACTTATCATTTTGGGACCTAAAGTTGAAGATACTGGAAAATATACTATTGAAATCAGTGGCGTATCCAGTACTGGTTTCCTCAATGTCGATGGTATACTATCAACAATTTCATTGACTTTTTTATTTATTATAATTAATATGTTTCATTATTATACTTTTTACAAGCTTACCATATAATGTTTTAAAACGAGAACAGTGAGTTTAGAAATTGTTCAACGTTCTTACTTTTGCATTATTATAATATCTGATATTTTATGTTTGAAAGTATTAACATTTGCCAGACTTATTTTTGTTTTTTTTTGTTTTTCCAGAACCCGATCCAACGTATACATTCACGAAACCACTTTCAAAGAAAACAAGTGGATACACGAAGCACGAATGTTACATGGAATGTACAGTTAGCTCAAATCTTGCCACAGTTTCGTGGTTTAAAGGAAAAACGAAACTCGAGGTAACAATTTGCTTCTTAAAAAATTAAAACAATTTGAAAGATATAATTAAAATTTGATTTTATCAATTAGGATGGCGACGTTTACAGTATTTCCAAAGACATGTCAGGTGTTTGTAGATTGACCATTAAAAGTGCTACTATAGAAGATAGCGGAGAATACATTTGTAAAATAAACAAGCAAACTGACAAAACAGAAACAGTGCTCACCGTTGTTGGTAATTATTTGCATTTCACACCTATTTTTAATGATTCATTTATATTTAACAACAACAACAAAATAAATACTTCTTATGAATTTCAGAATATCCATATAAATTCGTTAAAGTCTTAAAGAGTCAACAGTTAATAGAGAAGGAAACTTTAACTTTACTTTGCGAACTCGACGACGAAAATGGTGATGTTAAATGGTTCAAAGGTGATCAAGAAATAATAGCTGATAAAAGGTAATAAGAGATAAATAACATTTATAATAGAATAAATATTTGTTACGAATATTATTAACAATTATGAATATATATATATATATATATATCATCATCATCATTGTGTAGAATACAAATCAAGGCAGATGGTAGAAAGAGGAAACTCGTTATTAAAGATTCCAAGGTAACAGATGCTGGAAATTATTCTTGCGTTAGCAATGCCGACAAAACCGAAGCCGAGATCATTATCAATTGTAAGTGATATTTTTTCTAATTTCCATTATTCGTGTAACGAGTTAGATGATAAAACACGATATATTATGTTTTAAAAACGACAAATATTTGTAGATGCAAATCGATTCAACAAAAAGTTAAAGGATACGATTGCGATAGAAAGAGAAAAGTTGGTACTCGACGTTGAATTACAAGATCAAACTGCACCGGCTATTTTCCATTTCAATGGACAAAAAATCGAACCAAACGAAAGGGTAGAAATTAAAAATCTTGGTGGTGGTAAACATCAATTGATATTCAATAGGATCGAGATGACGGATGACGGTGAAATTACATGCGAGAGTGGACAATTGACGAGCAGTTGTAAGTTGACTGTTAAAAAGGGTGAAAGCAAACCTATCGTTGATATACCAGACAAAGTGGAAGGACCATGCAATGCACCTATCGTCTTTGTTGTACCTTTCAAAAGTAAGCAAACATATTTTCTTATTATTAATAATACACAATTTAATCATCTCTTTTATTTTATTATTAATATCTTGTTATTTTTTAGTCGAAGGTACGAAACAAAGCCAGATAGAAGCAAAACTTTTGAAAGATGGCAAACCATTGCCATTAAAAGATGTTGAAGTGGTCGTAGGCGAGGACAAAGTCACGTATAAAATTAAAAAACCTCAGCGTGATTTATCTGGAATTTATCAAGTTAAAATTGGTAATAATCAGGGAGAAGAAGTTAAAGATGTTAACATTAATATGCAAGGTAATACTATTATATATATATACAATATATTATTATATGATTAATTGTTGACGATTTTTAAACAAATATATTTTCTTTGGTAGACGTTCCATCGGCCCCGCAAGACGTAGACGTTACCGAAGTCTTTGCTAATTCGTGCGTAGTTTCCTTCAAACCATCGAAAGACGATGGTGGTTCTCCTATAACAAAATACGTTATCGAACGGCTCGATCTCAGTTTGAAATCTCAATGGGATAGCGTAGGGGAAGTTATGCCAGGAACAAAATGCGTTTATAAAGTCGAAGATCTTGTAGCAAAGAAGGAATACAAATTCCGTATACGTGCTGTGAACAAGCTTGGTTCTAGCGAACCAGCTATGTTTGCTAAACCAATTTTAGCGAAAGATCCTTGGGGTAAATAAACTTATTTATTTATTCTATTTTTTATAATATAATATAATATGTCATTTTTATCATTATTCCAAAATTTATTCTCCAAATATTTGTCCATTTAAGATGAACCTGGTAAACCTACAAACGTTGATGTAACTGATTGGGACAAGGATCACGCTGACCTTAAGTGGACTAAACCAGAAAGCGATGGTGGTGCACCAATTACTGGTTATATAATCGAATACAAGGAAAAATTCGGAAAGGAATGGGTCAAGGGAAAAGAAATCGTAGGAGATGTAACAGAAGCAACTATAGATGGTCTTAAAGAAGGAACACAATATGAATTTAGAATTCGTGCAGTCAACAAAGCTGGTCCTGGAGAACCATCGGACGCTACCAAACCTATAATAGCAAAATGTCGATTCGTAAAACCTTACATTGTCGGAGATGGATTGACAAATATGATTATCAAGAAAGGACAAGTTATCAAATACGATATCAAATATGCCGGTGAACCTGAACCAGAAGTACATTGGTATCTTGGTGAAAAAGAACTTGTTCAAGATGCTGCAGAAAGGATTACTATCGATAAATACGAAAGAAATACCGTACTCACCGTGAGAAAAACTACTCGGCCAGATTCTGGAAAATACAAATTAGTCCTCAACAACAGTTCTGGTACATGCGAGAGTATTGCAGATGTTGTTGTTCTTGGTAAGCTTACATTATCATCGACAAGCTCAATTTTACTAACAAATGTAACTCATTGAAATATCAATTTTTGTATAGATAAACCAGCAATGCCTAAGGGACCATTGAAAGTCGAAGAAGTACGTGCGAATCACGTTAAAGTTAAATGGGAAAAACCTCCGGACGATGGTGGTACCGATATTACTGGATATGTCCTTGAGAAAATGGATCTGGATACCGGACGTTGGATACCAGCTGGAGAAGTTGGACCTCACGAAGATACTTTTACATTCTCTGGTCTGACTCCTAAAAAGAAATATAAGTTCCGTGTTAAGGCTGTTAACAAAGAAGGTGAATCCGAACCCTTGGAAGTTGAAGAAGCAATAACTGCAAGGAATCCATACGGTGAGAACATTTCACATTTTTTTCAGACAAATCTATACTTTTTTTTTTCTATCTCATATATTATTATATAATACGTTGGTAATTATTTTTTTCAGACGAACCTGGTAAACCTGGAAAACCGGATATTTTCGATTACGACAATGTCAGTGTATCTTTAAAATGGGAGAAACCCCCGAGCGATGGTGGTCGACCGATAACTCATTATACGGTCGAAATGAAAGATAAATTCGCCGTAGATTGGGTAGAAGTAATGAAAACTTCTGATGCCACTCCGGAAGCTAAAGTGGAGGGTTTGAAAGAGAAAATGGTTTATCAATTTCGTGTACGGGCGCATAACAAAGCTGGACCATCGGAACCAAGTGAACCAACCGATAACCACCTTTGCAAACATAAAAATCGTAAGGATTATGCATCTTTCTCAAAATGTCTACCAAATTCATATTAATTAACTAAAAAGTATAATTACAATAATATAATGTTATATTTTAGTAAAACCAAGGATTGACCGTAGCAACTTCAAATCTATTATCATAAAAGCTGGACGTACTCATAAATGGTCGGTAGACGTGTCAGGTGAACCACCCCCAGAATGTAGATGGATTTGGAGAGATAATATACCCTTAACGACTACCGAACGTATTAAAATCGACAATGTAGATTATCACACAGATTTTACAATCGTTAATGCGATGCGTAAAGATACTGGAAAGTACACATTAATAGCTGAAAATGTAAACGGCAAAGATGAAGAAACTGTTGAGCTTACTGTTCTTGGTAAATAACTTGTTACTTGTGATATTACCGAGAATGATAATGTATAATCATTTTATTTTCTCTTTTTAATTAACTGATCCATTATTAATTGATTATTATTATCAGGAAAACCAAGTCCACCTAAGGGACCACTCGAAGTATCAGACGTGACGAATACGAGTGCCAAAGTGAAATGGCAAAAACCAGAAGATGACGGTGGTGTTCCAATAAAAGAATACGAAATTGAAAAAATGGATACAAAAACTGGCAAATGGGTCAGGGTTGGTAAAATACCTGGTAATTCTCCCAATATGGAATTAGACATTACCGGTCTGAATCCAGGAAGCGAATATAAATTCCGTGTAACTGCCGTTAACGATGAGGGTGATTCTGAACCTCTTGAAAGCGAACGCGGTGTCGTAGCTAGAAATCCTTATGGTATATATTTTTATAAAAAAAAAAAAAAAAACGATTATTATTTTCAATCTATAATATGAACCATCTTTTCTAACTGACGTTACTTCATTTATAGATGAACCTCACAAACCAGGAACTCCAGATATAACGGATTACGATAATGAATCTGTTAGTTTGAAATGGACTCCACCCGATTTCGATGGTGGTGCACCTATAGAAAAATACATAATCGAAAAGAAAGATCGTTATAAACCTGATTGGGAAAAAGCTATCGAAGTACCTGGAAATCAACTTGAAGCTAAAGTACCCGATCTCAAGGAACGTGGGGAATATCAATTCCGAATAATTGCCGTAAACAAAGCTGGACCCTCGCCACCGTCGGATGCTTCCAAAATGCAAATTTGCAAACATAAAGCATGTAAATATGAACATATAATATAATTATAATATATTTATGATTTATTAGAAAAATTTAACGCATTACTATATCGAATTGTTTTGAAATTTTTATAGTAAAACCGAGAATCGATCGAACTAATTTGAAACCCATCATCGTACGTGCCGGAAAAGCAATTAAATACGATGTAGACGTACGCGGTGAACCACCACCAGAAATTACTTGGCATCATGCTAATGTCGAAATTAAAAGTGGAGGAAATATAGAAATTGTTAATGTAGATTATAATACAAAATTAAGTATTACTGATAGCGTTCGTAAAAATACTGGCGTATGGAAGATACGTGCTGTCAATCCCCATGGCGAAGACGAAGCAGAAGTTGAAGTAACTGTTCTTTGTAAGTTTCTATATAAACATTCTATTGATTAATATTATTTGTAATATTTAATTAAACGATACCCGATGATGTTTAATCGATGAAACCTTTAATATCATATAATATTTGCAGCTGCACCTGGCAAACCGAAAGGACCGCTCAAAGTGTCGGACGTAACGAAGAATGGTTGTAAAATCAAATGGGGTAAACCTGAAGATGATGGTGGTAAACCTATAACTGGTTATCAAGTTGAAAAGTTAGATAAATCAACGGGCAGATGGGTACCAGTTGGTCGTACCAATGATACGGAGATGGATATCAAAGGTCTTCAGGAGGGTCATGAATACGAATTCAGAGTGAAGGCATTGAATGAAGAAGGAGAATCAGAACCATTGCTTACAGACGGAGCCATACTTGCCAAAAATCCATTTGGTATAATTTTTCATCAGTAGATTAGCAACAATTATATTTGAATAATTTGCATTATCAAAAAAATAGTAATTACTTTGATTTTGAATATACGTAAAAATTGCAGATTTAGCAAGTAAACCTGGTGTACCAGAGTTTGAAGATTGGGATGTAGATCGTGTTGATCTTAAATGGGAACCACCTAAAAATAATGGCGGAGCTGCCATTACTGGATATATTATCGAAAAGAAAGAAAAACCATCGACCCACTGGGAGGAATGCCTCACAACTGATTCGCCACAACCAAAGGGTCGGGTTACAGGTCTCAAAAAGGGTGCAACATATCAATTCCGAGTACGTGCCGTAAATAAAGCTGGGCCTTCAGAACCTAGTGATCCAACGAAACCACACATCGCAAAGGCACGATTCTGTAAGTTTATTTTTATTGATCTGATTCGATGTGTGTGATGGTTCCTTATTTATTCAAATTTTATAAAATATTGTTTTTTGTATTATCATCAGTGAAACCACACATCAATCGAGAGAAACTGCATACCATCAAAGTTAGAGCAGGACAACACGTGAAATTAGAAGTCGATATAGAGGGTGAACCACCGCCAACTGTTACTTGGAGTTTTGCCGGTGCAACTTTAGAAACTGGTGCAAACGTTAAAATTGATAATGAAGATTATCTTACCAAAATACAATTAATCAGTCCCAGTCGTAAACATACTGGCAAATATACGATTAAAGCAGTCAATGATTCGGGACAAGACGAGGCTGATGTAGAAATTAATATCCTAGGTATATGAAAATTGTTATAACACGCGTATTAATATAAATATTAATTTCAATTGTTTTACTCATTTTTTTTTTCTTTGTATAAACGAATAGACAAGCCTGGAAAACCTGAGGGACCTTTAGAGGTAACCGATGTACATAAAGAAGGATGCAAATTGAAATGGAACAAGCCAAGGGATGACGGCGGACTACCGCTTACAGGATATATTCTTGAAAAAATGGATATTACAACTGGTCGTTGGGTTCCAGCTGGCATTGTAGATCCAGAGAAGACTGAACATGCTATTACTGGTTTGGAGCCTGGTAAAAAATATGAATTCCGTGTAAAAGCTATGAATGAAGAAGGTGAATCCGAGCCTCTACAGACAGACACTGCCATCCTTGCTAAAAATCCTTATGGTATGTACCAAATCTAAAAAAAGCTTAGCTTTAACATTATAAAAATAATCAACTGCATTAATACGTTCGTTTGAATTGTTTTTTTTTTAGATCCGCCAGCAGCGCCTGGTCTGCCAGAAATTATTGACTGGTCTGAAAATATGGTAAAACTTAAATGGGAACCACCAATAAGAGACGGTGGTGCACCTATTACCGGTTACATTATCGAAATGAAAGATAAGTTTGGTACAAGTTTCGTAAAAGCTGCTGAAGTACAAGGACCAATTTGTACCGGTACTGTAGAAAGATTACAAGAAGGTAATCAATATCAATTCCGAGTACGAGCAGTAAATAAAGCTGGACCTGGTGAACCAAGCGAAGAAACTAATCCTCATACTGCTAAGGCCCGTTGGCGTAAGTTATATTCACAAATGGATATTAATTATAATTATATCTCTTTCTGCGTTTATTTTATATTTAATTGAAATGATCATTCAATTTATAGTTAAACCTTACATCGATCGTACCAATTTGCAACCTATAACGGTAAAAGTCGGCCTTACAATAACCTTAGATGTGAATATAATTGGAGAACCACCACCAACGGTAACATGGACTTTCAAAGATAAAGAATTAAAGTCGAATGATATCATTCGTATCGATAATATCGACTATAATACAAAATTAATCATTCTAAAAACCAAACGCGAACAAACTGGAAAGTATGAGATACGAGCCAAAAATGAAGTTGGAGAAGACGTTGCCGAAGTTGAGATTACCGTTCTTGGCAAGCCAAGCAAACCTAAGGTACATAAATCTGAAAATGAATGTTCAGAATTAGAATTTACTAATCAAATGAATTTCTATTAATTTAACAGGGTCCTCTGGAAGTATTCGACGTTAACAAACACGGATGCAAATTAAAATGGGACAAACCTGAAGACGATGGCGGATCGCCAATTGAATATTATGAAATAGAAAAGCTCGATCCTTTAACTGGACAATGGATATCCTGTGGAAGAGCCATCGAACCAGAAGCTACAATCACGGGCTTGCAAGAAGGCAAACCTTATAAATTCCGTGTAAAGGCTGTAAATAGAGAAGGCGAATCCGATGAATTGGAAGCCGACAAATCTATTATAGCTAAAAATCCATTCGGTAATTTAATATTATATACTAGAAACATTGTGAAGTTTTTAATAGAGAGACGGCAGTAATAAATTATATAATAAATAAAATTTATAGATGAACCTGGTAAACCTGGACGTCCAGAATTACGAAATTGGGACAAAGATTTCGTTGATCTCGAATGGACTCCACCAAAAGATGACGGTGGTGCTCCTATCGAAAAATATATTATTCAAATGCGTGATAAAGAAGGAAGACAATGGGTAGATGCTGCCAAAGTTCTTGGTGATCGCACCATGGCCAAAGTTACCGAAGGTATTCAAGAAGGTCATGAATATGAATTCAGAGTGGTAGCTGTTAATAGGGCTGGTCCAAGTGAACCCAGTGACGTTTCAAAGAGCGTCATTGCAAAACCCCGTTTCTGTAAGTACATTTTTTAGTTTATTCATTCTATATTTTCTTTTGAAATCTAGTTACACGAAATATAATATTAATCATACAATATCAATTTATTTTCCTATTTTTTTCCATACAGTGGCACCTCGTATCGATCGCAAAAATCTACATAAAAAAGTTATGCGAGTTGGACAAATGTTACGCATTGAAGCGGATATCATAGGTGAACCACCTCCAATTATAACTTGGAAATTAAAAGATGCAGTATTAAAAAGTATGGACCGCTTGAAAATAGAAAATGAAGATTATCACACGACATTTATAATGAGTAAATTACAAAGATCCGATACAGGAACTTATACTGTTATTGCCAAGAACGATAGTGGAACTGATCAGGTTGACGTTGAAATACAGGTTTGTTAACTTCATTGTATAATAATTCATGAATTATTTGTTTTCTTATATCGATGTTATAATTATTATTTACTATTTCATTTCCATGCAGGTCGTAAGTAAACCTGCCAAACCAAAAGGTCCACTTGAGGTATCTAATGTGACAGCAGAAAGTTGCAAACTCAAATGGGACAAACCAGAGGATGATGGTGGTGATCCGGTAGATCATTATGTAATAGAAAGAATGGATGTTGATAGTGGTCGTTGGGTACCTTGCGGAACGAGTAAGGTACCTGAAGCTGACATAAGTGGTCTTAATGAAGGCAAAGATTATTTGTTCAGAGTAAAAGCCGTTAATTCTGAAGGAGAATCTGAACCATTAGAAACTGCGATACCAGTTACAGCCAAAAATCCTTATTGTGAGTATCGTCGTGAATTGGATTATTCGTTGTGAAAACTTAATCAATGGGATATTTATTACAAATTGATTTCTTTATCATTTTAGCCGAACCCGATGCACCCAGCAAGCCTGACTTAAAGGATTGGAGTAAAAATCACGTTGATCTTAAATGGAAAGCACCAAAGAACGATGGCGGAGCACCGATCGAAAAATACATTGTCGAAAAGAAAGATCAATATGGTAAATGGCAAAAGGCTGTAGAAGTTCCTGGTAATAAAACAGATGCCAGAGTTCCCGATCTTGTCGAGGGACAAAAATATCAATTCCGAATAAAAGCAGTAAACAAAGGTGGTCAAAGTAAACCAAGTGAACCTAGCGATACTTTAATAGCTAAGGATCGTTACGCGGCACCAAGAATAGATCGTACTAATTTGAAAGATATCACTATCAAAGCTGGTAATCATATACGCTTGGACGTTAAGGTTACTGGTGAACCACCTCCAACTAAAACCTGGTATCTCAATAAAGCCAAACAAGAGACACAGAATGCGGTAACAGTAGAACTTGAAGACTACAGGACTAAGTTCTTAGTATCTATAGCTTCTAGAGCGCACTGTGGTACTCTAACTTTGAAAGCCGAAAACAGTTCAGGCAAGGATGAGGCTAGCATTGAAATCTTGGTATTAGATAAACCTAGCAAACCGGAAGGTCCTTTGAAAGTATCTGATGTTCATAAAGAAGGTTGCACTCTCAAATGGAATCCACCATTGGACGATGGTGGTGTACCTTTGGAGCATTATGTTGTTGAAAAAATGGACACAGAAAGTGGAAGGTGGATACCTATCGGTCGTACGAAAGAACCAAATATGGTTGTAGAAAATTTAGTACCTGGACAAGAGTACAAATTCCGTGTCTCCGCTGTTAATGCAGAGGGTGAATCGGAACCTTTGGAAACCGATCATGGCATCGTTGCCAAGAATCCATTTGGTTAGCTTTCTTCTAAAAATATTACAATCCTTATCTCTATTAATGAATATTTTACTATTTATATTTTCTGTTTATCACAGACGAACCTGGACCTCCTGGACGACCAGAGGCTGCCGATTGGGATAAGGATCATATAGATTTGAGATGGACTCCACCGTTAAATGACGGTGGATCTCCAATCACCGGATATGTGATAGAAAAACGTGAAAAGGGAACACCCCGCTGGATCAAAGCTTGCGAAACTAGTGGGCCAGAATGTAAAGGTCGTGCCGATAATCTTGACGAAGGTGTTGAATATGAATTCCGTGTAAAGGCAATTAATGCTGCTGGTCCTGGTGAACCATCAGACACCAGTAAACCCATTACCGCTAAAAGTAGACGAAGTAAGTTCTATTACTTCGGTAATTACTCCGACTTGATCAAATATTTTCTGTAAAAGGCATTTCTTTAAATTATTTATCATTCTTCAGTGGCACCAAAGATTGACAGGCGAAACTTACGCGACATCACCGTACGCGAGAACGAAGCGTTCCACTTTGATGTTAAAATTTTGGGTGAACCACCCCCAGACGTTACATGGGTTTTAAATAATAAGAGCATAACACAAACTACACATCGTAGAATACAAAATGTACCATACAATTCGAAGTTCTTCAATGATAAACCCGAACGTAAAGATTCTGGTTTATATAAAATCACGGCTGTTAATCAACATGGTTCTGATACGGCAGACGTTGAAGTCATAGTTGTCTGTAAGTATCTATCTATCAAAGTTTAATTGTTTATAGACCTAATAAGAATAGAGGAATTAAAAATGAACATTTCGACAGGTAAACCTAGCAAGCCTGAAGGACCATTAGAAGTGTCAGATATTCACAAGGAAGGTTGCACGCTTAAATGGAAAAAGCCTAAGGACGATGGTGGAGAACCTATCGAAGGTTATGTAGTAGAAAAGTTCGATCCAGAGACTGGTGTATGGTTACCAGTTGGTAAAACGTCAGGACCTGAAATGAAAGTCGAAGGTTTAACGCCCGGACACGAATATAAATTCCGAGTAAAAGCCTTCAATAAAGAAGGAGAATCCGAACCATTAGAAACATTCAGCTCTATCATTGCCAAAGATCCGTTCAGTAAGTTTTCGTTCATTTCAAATTATTTATCTTTTTTTAATTTAAAATAATAAATATATAAATAATTACAATTTGTATCTTTTTCGCAGCTGTACCAAGCCCACCAGGAGCACCAGAACCAGTCGATTGGTCCGCTAATCAAGTAGATCTTACTTGGAAAGAGCCGGTTAGTGATGGTGGTTCTCCAATCACTGGATATATTATTGAGAAAAAAGACAAGTATAGTACAATGTGGGAAAAAGCTTTGGAAATTGAAACACCAGTTACGCAAGCTCTCGTGCATGGTCTCATAGAGGGCAACGATTACCTCTTCCGTGTAATTGCTGTAAATAAAGCTGGTCAATCGGAACCGGGTGAAACCAGTAAAACATTTACGGCTAAACCTCGCTATTGTAAGTATATCAAATTGATGGCTATTTATATACATATATATTGTTAGATATAAAAATATTTATTTGCTAATGTAACGATGGCATTGATAGATCTCATGGCGCTTGTACATTCCACGCGCACCTAATCTGAAAATAAAACCGATTGCTTCTATATCGATTAGGATTTAAAATCAATTTGCCAAAAGACGGAGGGGTATTTATTAACGTTCGTTTCTCTTTTTCAGTGGCACCAAAGATCGACAGACGTAATTTACGTGACGTTACTCTCTCGGCGGGATCTCTGTTAAGATTTGATGCGAACGTGATCGGTGAACCTCCACCACACATCGAGTGGCGATACGGTGCGATCCCTCTGCACTCCGATAAAAAAGTACAAATCGACAATTCAGATTATAGTACGAAATTCAGCATCCGGCCAGTTTCACGTGACGACAGCGGTGATTATACTGTCACTGCTAGTAATTCGTCTGGAAGAGATTCCGTTACTGTTCAAGTAACAGTAACTGATAAACCTTCACCTCCGGAAGGACCATTACAAGTTACGGACGTCCACAAGGAAGGATGTAAGCTCAAATGGAAGAGGCCAAAAGACGATGGAGGTACGCCGATCGAATATTACCAGGTGGATAAAATGGATCCAGAAACAGGTTGTTGGATACCATGCGGTCGTTCCACCGAACCGAGTAAGTATACTCAAATTCCATCCTAAAATACCATATATTATATTTCAATATTTCATTGTAACATCTTCCAATAAATATCCATTTTTAGACTTGGAAGTAAGCGGTTTGACACCTGGTAAAGAATATTTATTCCGAGTGTCTGCAGTTAATTCCGAGGGAGAATCTAAACCGTTAGAAGCAGAACAAGCAATATTAGCTAAAAATCCATACGGTACGTAACACCCAATATTTTGAAATATCTTTATTATGCTGAATAATGGATCATCATTCGGCTTAAATCGTTTGTTTAAATTATTAGACGAGCCAGATAAGCCAGGAGATCTTCGTGCTACCGATTGGGATAAAGATCACGTAGATTTGGCATGGACACCACCGGCCAACGATGGTGGTTCACCTATCACCGGTTACATAATCGAAAAGAAAGACAAATACGGAGAATGGGAAAAAGCTGTGGAAGTACCAGCGGATAAAACTTCAGCAACGGTGCCAGATTTAATAGAAGGACAGCCTTACGAATTTCGAGTACGGGCAGTTAACAAAGCAGGTCCTGGGGAACCTTCGGATCCGACACCGACTATAATAGCAAAACCACGCAATCAACCACCTAAGATCGATCGTACCAATTTAATTGAAGTAAGAATAAAGGCAGGACAAAACTTTGGTTTTGATGTGAAAGTTACCGGTGAACCGACACCTACGACAAAATGGATGCTAGGAAGTAGGGAAGTAAGGCCAACCGATAGAGTAAAAGTCAAGCATATCGATTATAACACTAGCCTGCATGTCCGAATGGCGACCAGAGCCGAATCCGGCAAATATTGTGTAACCGCTGAAAATATTAACGGCAAAGATGAAGCATTCGTTAAAGTTACCGTATTGGATAAGCCTAGTCCTCCTCAAGGACCTCTTAGAGCCAGCGACGTACATGCAGAAGGATGCAAACTTACTTGGAAACCACCTGAAGATGATGGTGGTCAACCCATTGAAAAATACGTTGTTGAAAAGATGGACGAAGTTACTGGACGCTGGGTTCCAGCAGGTGAAACCGATGGACCAGAAACATCGGTAAACGTTGAAGGATTAACTCCTGGTCATAAATACAAGTTTAGAGTACGTGCTGTTAACAAGCAAGGCAAATCGGAACCCCTTGCCACATCCCAGAGCATCGAAGCTAAAAATCCATTTGGTATATATATATATATATATAAAACATTTTATAAATTAATTATTTATAAGATAAAATATACATATATCTCTTTTAAAAATTTGTTCCTGTATAATTTTGATTATTTTCTTGTATATAGATGAACCAGGTAAACCAGGCACGCCTACCGTTACCGATTATGATACTAACTTTGTCCAATTACAATGGTCACGACCAGACCACGATGGTGGATCTCCCATTACTGGTTATGTAATAGAAAAACGTGACAAATATAGTCCGACTTGGGAGAAATGCGCCGAGGTTGAAGGTGATGTAAATACCGGAAGAGTTGATGATCTTGTCGAAGGAACGCATTATGAATTCCGTGTCAGGGCTGTTAACAAAGCCGGTCCTGGCGAACCATCAGAGGCTTCTAAATCACACTTGGCACGACCCAAGAACCGTATGTATAGTTATATTATAATCATATGTATAGTTACTTAGTTATAGTATACAAAAAAAATAATGACATTCGATATATTGTATTACTTGCAGTTCCACCAAAGATCGATCGCAATTATATGTTAGATGTAAAAGTAAAAGCAGGTGGCTTTTACGACTTTGATGTTCCGGTTATTGGTGAACCACCACCAACAAAAGAATGGTCCCTTAAAGACAATGTGGTAATGGCGGATGACCGTATCAAAATTATAAATGAAGATTACAATACGAAAGTACGAGTAATGGAAGCAAGAAGATCAGATTCTGGTGTTTATACATTAACTGCTAAAAATATCAATGGTAAAGACACTGCAACGTTAAACGTAAATGTTCTCGATATACCATCCCCGCCTGAGGGACCATTGCTAATAAGTAATGTGACGAAGAATTCATGCACATTAAAATGGCGAGCACCAAAGGACGATGGTGGTTCAGAAATCCTTTACTACCAAGTAGAAAAAATGGATACGGAAAATATGCGTTGGGTACCAGTTGCAGAAGCAACGACTACGTCAGCTCGCGTAGATCATCTTATCGAAGGACACGATTATCAATTCCGTGTGCGTGCTGTGAACAAACAAGGAGAATCGTCACCGTTGACTGGATTAGACACTATTACAGCAAAGGATCCATTTGCTAGGCCCGATAAACCAGGCACACCTGTCGCTACGGATTGGGATAAGGATCACGTAGATCTCGAATGGGCACCACCTAAGAAAGATGGTGGATCTCCGATAACTGAATACATAATAGAGAAGAAACCTCGTTTTGGACAATGGGAAAAGGCCCTCGAGATTTCGGGTGACAAGACAAGTTGCAGAGTTCCAGATTTAATCGAAGGTCAAGAATATGAGTTCAGAGTGATCGCTGTTAATAAAGGTGGTCCTGGAGATCCATCCGATGCATCTGCACCTGTCATTGCTAAACCACGTTTCCGTAAGTATCGATAAATTGAAATTATTAATTATTTGTAGAATATTATACATAATACAATAATTCATTATATTACAGTTGCACCAAGCTTCGATCCGGCACTTTTACACGATTTGGTCGTACGTGCCGGACAAAAGATCAGTTACATTATTCCTATAGAAGCATCGCCTAAACCAAAAGCAACTTGGACATTGGATGGTAAACCTCTTGAACCTGATTTACGCCATGAAATGTTTACTACGCAAACAGAAACATCATTCGAAATTCCATTCTCCGTTCGTTCGGATAGTGGACGATATGCTATAACTTTGGAAAATGAATATGGCAAATTCAGGTAAAACTTGTCATTAGAATAATATTATATAAATAAATTTAAATAATATTGAAATTTCGAAAAGAAAAAACAAAAAAAGAAAACAATATAGATAATTAATATACATTTAAATATTTTTTAGTTCAAGTGCTAGAGTTACCGTATTAGATAAACCATCGCCACCAGAACCACCATTGGTAATTAGTAATATTACCAAAGATAGTTGTCACGTAGCGTGGGGTCATCCTCTTGATGACGGTGGTAGTCCCATCCTCCATTACGTTATTGAAAAGATGGATCTTTCCCGTGGAACTTGGTCGGACGCTGGAATGAGCATGGTTCTTAGCCATGATGTAGCTCGATTAACTCATCGTAAAGAATATCTTTTCCGAGTAAAAGCTGTTAACAACATTGGAGAATCCGAACCATTGGAGACTACAAAGAGTATCATTGCTAAGAATGAATTCGGTGAGTGTGTTTTTAAAAAAGATTTAAAAATATATTTCTTCTTTCTTTCATATTTTTGATCGATATGAAAGATTAAAATATGATACGAATAATTATTCTTATTTAACAATATTTCCAGATGAACCAGATGCTCCTGGTAGGCCATCAATAATGGATTGGGATAAAGATCATGTTGATCTTCAATGGCCGGCACCAGGCAACGATGGTGGTTCTCCTATTACGGGATATATCGTACAAAAGAAAGAAAAAGGCAGTCCTTACTGGGTCAATGCTGTTCATGTACCGGCTGGACAAACAAGTACAACTGTTCCAGATTTAACAGAAGGTCAAGAATATGAATTCCGTGTTATAGCGGTTAATGCAGCAGGACAATCAGAACCATCTGAACCAAGTGATCTTGTGACTGCTAAGCCACGATTCTGTAAGAATGCTTTTCTTATTTCACAATGTCTTTGCTACTTTATTTTATTCCAAGATGTTCTTAGTTTAAAATAAAATGCATTTAAGTACAAAGTTGCATAAATAAATATTCTATTTCAGTGGCACCAAAGATAAAGACACCTCTGCAAGATATCCGTGTTAAGGCTGGCTTAATTTTCCATGTGGATATCGACTTTGTCGGTGAACCAACGCCTGAAGTAACCTGGACCGTAGGAAGTAAAGAATTAGAAACCAATGAAAGAACTACCGTTACTTCTATCGGTTATCATACGATCGTACATACAGTTAATGCAAAAAGATCCGATTCCGGATCATATCATCTGTTATTAAAGAATAGTAGTGGAATTGACGAAGGTAGCTTCCAAGTAACTGTTTTGGATAGACCAGGTCCACCAGAAGGTCCTTTGAATTACGAAGAAATCACAAGTCAATCAGTTACTTTATCCTGGAAACCGCCAAAGGATAACGGTGGCAGTGAGATCACGTGAGTAATCAGTCAATCTCACTCTCTCTAGAAAGTGCAATGTTAATTATTTATAATATTTATAAACGAAATGTTCTTCTCGCAGTGGTTATGTAATCGAAAAACGTGATCTTACTCACGGTGGTGGTTGGGTACCAGCTGTAACACACGTCAATCCAAAATACAATCACGCAACTGTTCCAAGATTATTGGAAGGTACCACTTATGAGTTTCGTGTATCTGCGGAAAATCTTCAAGGCCGCTCTGAACCTTTGACCACGGATCGTTCGATAGTAGCGAAGAATCAATTCGGTAATTCATATTATAACTATTGCTAACGAGAACTTTTTCACTTGTATATGTATTTCATTGTATACTAGCAATGACTGATTTCCGGCTTTGACGGTAACATATATATAACGTAGATCTTAAATAATAATTTAATTGCTTTTTAAAATAGTTGCTCCTGGTCAACCTGGCAAACCCGAATGCGTCGATGCTGACAAAGACCATATTAAAATCAGATGGACTGCTCCAATCAGTAACGGTGGTTCTAAGATTATCGGTTATGACGTGGAACGTCGTGATCGTGCAACCGGCCGTTGGCTCAAAGTGAATAAGGAACCAGTAAGATACGCGGAGTATTACGATGATCACGTTACCGAAGGGCACCAATACGAATATCGCGTTACTGCAATAAATGCAGCTGGATCTGGTAAACCCAGCGATACATCAGCAGTCTTTATTGCAAAACCTATGAAGGAAAAACCGAAATTGTATTTGGATGCTCTCATTGGTCGCAAAATCAAAGTTCGTGCTGGAGAACCAATTAATATTAATATTCCATTATCTGGAGCACCTACTCCTACGGTAGAATGGTGTAAAAATGGAAAAACACTTACAGAAACTCTTCGAGCATCGGTAAGAATTTGAAAAAAAAAACATTCCTTTTGTTTTTTGACATATTAATAAAAGTAACACGCGAATAAATATTTAAATATATTATTTCAGACTGAAACTAAGAGCGATCGAACACAATTACTTGTTGATAAATCTATACGCGACGATAGCGGTACATATACGGTCACTGCATCAAATGAACACGGTAAAGATTCGGCTGACATCGAAGTTACAGTTGTTGATAAGCCTGGACCACCTCAGGGACCACTTCAATACACGGGAACAACACAAGAATCAGTTTCACTATCCTGGAACAAACCTCTGGATGATGGTGGATCTGATATAACTAATTACATTGTCGAAGTGGCAGACTTTGGTTCTGATAATTGGCGCCAAGTGCCTGGATATGTTCCAAGAACCAGTTTTATGGCTAAAGGTCTCACAGAAGGAAGACGATACGTCTTTAGAGTACGAGCTGAAAATATGTACGGAGTTTCGGAACCACTCGATGGTAAACCGGTTGTTGCAAAGAGTCCATTCGATCCACCAGATGCTCCAAGTCAACCACAAATTCTAGGATACACGCCCAACAGTTGTAGCCTTACATGGACTCCACCTGTTAACACAGGTGGCAAACCAATCACAGGTAAAGTAATCGCATTACAAGGAATAGATTATTCTAAACATATTTATATATTTTGTTACACTTTTCACTTCTTCTTATCCAAAAATCGTAGGTTACTATATCGAGAGACGTGAGCGTGGTGGTGAATGGCTTAAGGTTAATAATTATCCAACACCAAATACCACTTTCACGGTGCAAGATCTTCACGAAGGATCTAGATACGAATTTAGAGTAACAGCTGTGAACGAAGCTGGACCTGGCAAACCTAGTAAACCTACAGAGCCTATTACAGCTGGACATCAACGAAGTAAGTTAACTATTCCTTCTTGAACAACTGCATCTGCCTTTATATTATAACTATATGAAATAATATCAAAATATTTGTGTAGTGCGACCTGACGCTCCAGAACCACCGAAAGCCGACAGAATTACAAAGGATTCGGTAACCTTAAGTTGGCGTCCTCCACGTAGCGACGGTGGTGCTAAAATCAGAGGTTACAATATCCAGAAAAAAGCTAGAGGAGAGGAAGAATGGACTGACGCCAATGGTGCTCTTATACCTACAAATATATATACCGTGCCGAAACTTACGGAGGGTGAAGAATATCTCTTCAGGGTAATCGCTGTGAACGATGTTGGTAACAGCGATCCTAGCAAACCAAGTAGTCCAATCGTTATTGAAGAACAACCTAATAAACCAGTTATGGATCTTGGTGGTGTCAGAGACATTACCGTTCGTGCTGGTGAAGATTTTTGTATTCATGTACCTTACATTGGTTTCCCCAAACCAACTGCTACGTGGTTTGCTAACGACGTTGTTAAAGATGAAACGGATTCACGCGTACATCAACAATTGGCTGACGATTATGCAAGGTAAATATTTTCGATTATATTTAACTATACAAATTGTCATATCTTTTAATTATTCATTGTTTTTTACAGTCTTGTGGTGAAAAATTCGAAACGTTCAGACGGAGGACAATACAGGCTTCAATTACGTAACTCATCCGGCTTTGATACAGCAACGATAAATGTTAAAGTTTTAGACAGACCAAATCCACCCGAAAATCTGCGTGCAGATGAATTTGGCGGAGATGCTCTTACACTCTTCTGGAATCCACCTAAAGACAACGGTGGTGCTGATATCACCAATTATGTCGTTGAGAAAAGAGAACCACGTGCAGCTACATGGTCAAAGGTATGACTACAAAAATATCTAATTATTTTTAATATATAAGTTGCAATAAAAAAGATATAAATTTAATATCAATTATCAATTGTTCTATAGGTCAGTAGTTATATCACTACACCATTTGTACGTGTACGCAATTTGACCGTTGGTCAAGTCTACGAATTCCGTGTGATGGCTGAAAATCAATATGGAACATCAGATCCTGTAACAACAATTGATCCAATCAAAGCCAGGCATCCATTTGATCCACCAGGTCCACCTGGAACACCACGTGGAGTCGAAACTACCGAAGACAGCATTACTATTACGTGGACTAAGCCTCGTCACGATGGTGGTTCGCCTATTACTGGATACGTCATTGAAAAACGTCTTTTGAGTGAAGATAAATGGGTCAAAGCAACTCCGGCATTAGTACATGAAACAACCTATAAGTGAATATCAAAGATAAAATGTTTTAGAAGACTTCGTTAATTAATACAAACATATTTAATCTATTTCTGATATTTCTTAACAGGGTTACTGGGTTGATTGAAAATCATGATTATGAATTCCGTGTGGCAGCAGAAAATGCAGCTGGTCGTGGTGCATGGAGCTCAAGTTCGGATGTAATTCGTGCTAGTGCTCCAGCATGTAAGTATTATTATAATTAATATAATGAATATAATGACTTTTATACACACACACACACACACACACACATGATTAAATTATAATAATATACGAATTAAAATGATTCAGTCCCACCAAAGATTACCAGTGATCTAAGTATTCGCGATATGACTGTTATCGCTGGAGAACCATTTACTATCACAGTACCATTCACGGCTAATCCAAAGCCTAGACCAAGTTGGTCTATTAACGGTGAAGAAGTTCTCACTGGGGATAGAATTAAATTCGAGACAACGGATATTGCATCACAATTCATTAACAAAAAAGCAAAACGATCAGATACTGGAACATACACTATTTATCTTACCAATACCGTTGGCACGGATTCGGCTTCATGCAAAGTTCTTGTAGTCGGTAAATATATATTTCCTCTTGGCATAATTCATTTAAAAAAAATAAAAGTATATTATCTTGATTATATAAAATTCATATTATAATGAATAAATAATATGTATTTGTTATATCTTTAGATAAACCATCGCCACCTCAAGGTCCATTAGACATATCTGATATTACACCTGAAACTTGTACGCTTTCATGGAAACCTCCGTTCGATGACGGTGGTTCACCAGTTACAAATTATGTCGTCGAAAAACTAGATCCTGCCGGCGTAAGTTATTATTTGTAATCCTTTATGCAATATTGTATAACCGGAGAAATAGAATAATAATTGAATTTGATATTATTACAGTTCTGGGTAAAGCTTAGCAGTTTCGCTAGAAATACTCATTACGATGTAATCGGTTTGGAACCAAATCGCATGTACAATTTCCGTGTACGAGCAGAAAATCAATATGGTGTGTCTGAACCATTACAAGCGGATGAACCAATAACAGCTAAATTCCCCTTCACCGTTCCGGATTCACCTGGACAACCACGTGTAATAGATTGGGATACTACGAGTGCTACATTAGTCTGGTCAAGGCCAATGTCTGATGGAGGCTCGCGTATACAGGTAATTTTGAAAGAGAAGGCTAATTCAACGAAATTTTTCCGATAAATATAAAATCATGTTAAATAATTTGCATATCTATCTTCATATCATTATCCAGGGTTACAAAATCGAATTCCGCGATCCAGCAGATGATATGACATGGCGAGTAGCCAACGATTATCTTGTTAAAGATACAACTTATATCTGCTATAGTTTGGCCAGTGGTCACGAATATGAATTTAGAATTCGAGCAAAGAATGCAGCTGGCTTTAGCAAACCGAGTCCACCGTCGGCACCATTTAAAATAAAGAGCAAATTCAATGTTCCTTCTCCACCTGGTACACCGCGAGTAACTAAAGTTGGTAAGAACTACGTTGATCTCAAATGGGAAGCGCCTGTTTCCGATGGTGGTAGCCGTATAACTGGCTACGTCGTTGAGAAACGTGAAGTCGGAAGTGCAATCTGGATTAAATGTAATGAGTATAATGTCACGGATACCGAATATACGGTACTTCATCTTATCGAACGAGGAGACTATGAATTTAGAATATTTGCGGTTAACGCGGCCGGAAGATCGGAACCTAGCTCGTGCACTACACCAGTCAAGATTTGCGAAGTTGAAGGTGGCGAGAAACCAGAATTTGTTAGGAATTTGCCTATAAGCCAAATAGTTCCACTTGGCAAAACGCATGTATTCGAATGTGAAGCCACTGGAAAACCATTACCAACTGCCAGGTTAGTATAATATATACATATGTTATATATTGCTGAAAAATGATTACTGTCTGTAACGTGGAAACTTTTTCAATACTATTTTATTACAGGTGGTTGAGAAATGGTCGCGAGATCACACTAGGTGGACGTTTCAGAGCAGAAACTATAGACGGAATTTATAGACTCGTCATATCTGGAGTAATGGAAGCTGACGACGGTGATTACAGTTGTCAAATATCAAATCCACTTGGTCTGGCAACGACGACTTCTCGTCTCAAGATTGGTACTCCACCGCGTATCGAGCGTATGCCAGATGACTTGTATTTACCGGAAGGTGACAATACTAAGATCAAGATCTACTACAGCGGTGATCAACCGATGGACGTTACTTTGAAAAAGGATGGTCGCAAGATCGTTGAAACATCGCATATCAAATACACCGTGTTTGACGAATATCTTATTATCTTTATCAAAGATATCGAGAAAGATGATGCCGGTGTATACGAATTATCTATATCTAATGATAGTGGTGACGTGAGTGCTTCCTTTACCGTTTATATTACTGGTCTACCTGGTCCACCAACCGGTCCACTCAACGTCACCGATATCAACAAGCACACGTGTACTCTATCCTGGCATCCACCTAAATATGATGGAGGTCTTCGTATAACTCATTACATGATAGAACGAAAAGACATCACGCATACCCACTGGATTATTGTCGCATCCTACTGTAAAGACACTACATGCTACGTACAAGGTCTTACGGAGGGTCAAGAGTACCTCTTCCGAGTAATGGCAGTTAACGAAAATGGCATGGGTCCACCTTTGGAAGGCACTAATCCTATAAAAGCCAAGGCACCGTTCGATCCACCTGGACCACCTGGTACACCAAAAGTCATCGAAGTGGGCGGAGATTTCGTCAATCTTTCATGGGAGAAACCAGAAACCGATGGTGGTTCCAAGATACAAGGTTATTGGATCGACAAGCGCGAAGTCGGTAGTCAAACTTGGCAACGCGTTAACGTTGTTATTTGCTTACCAACTCAGATAAATATTAGCAATCTTATCGAGGGAAGACAATATGAGTTCCGCGTTTTCGCTCAAAACGAAGCTGGTCTTAGTACAGAATCTAAAGCTTCGACGTCAGTTAAAATCGTTGATCCTCAAGCCGCCAAAGCACCAGAAATTATTTCACCTTTGCACAAAGTTAATTGCGTTCAGAATCACAATGCTCACTTCCAATGCACCATTACTGGAACTCCCAAGCCCAATATCACGTGGTTCAAGGGAGCTCGAGAAATTGTTGGCGGTAGCCGTTACCAAATTTATTCGGAAGGTGACGTACACAATCTTATAATATATGATGTGTTCGGTGAAGACGCGGACGAATATTTCTGTCGCGCGGTCAATAAATGTGGCGCAAAATCTACGAAGGGTGAACTCTTCATAAAGACGCCACCTAAACTCAACGTACCACCTAGATTTAGGGACACCGCATTCTTCGATAAGGGCGTCAATGTTGTTATTAAAATACCTTTTACTGGTTATCCTAAACCAAAGATCACTTGGATAAGAGAGGGAGAAGTAATCGAATCAGGAGGACATTACTCGGTCGAGGTGAAAGAAAGACATGCCGTATTAACTATCAGAGACGGTAGTAGATTAGATTCTGGACCTTACCGCATTACAGCGGAGAACGATTTAGGCCAGGATTCCGCGATCATAAAAATACAGATAAGCGATCGTCCTGATCCACCACGATTCCCACAAATCGATAACATCGGTCACGATTCCTTGGCACTTTCGTGGAAACCACCGGTCTGGGATGGTGGTAGTAATATCACTAATTATTTGGTAGAAAAACGCGAACATCCGATGACTAGTTGGATCAGAGTTGGAAATACTAGATTCTGTACAATGGCAGTTACTGCTCTCAGTCCTGGACATCAATATGATTTCCGTGTTTGCGCTGAAAATATCTACGGTAGATCTGATCCAAGCGAAGTAACGCCGCTTATCACAACTAAGGGTACCATTAAGAGAGAATTCAAGAAGAAGGAATACGAAGTGGATGAGACTGGCAAAAAGATCCGTGGTCGCAGTGACGAAAAAGTTCGTGATTACGATCAATTTGTCTTTGACATTTATAGCAAATATGTGCCACAACCAGTTGAAATCAAGCATACCTCCGTTTACGATAAATATGATATTCTTGAAGAAATTGGTACCGGTGCATTTGGCGTTGTTCATCGGTGTCGTGAAAGATCTACCGGCAATATTTTTGCTGCTAAATTCATTCCAGTTTCTCACGTTATGGAGAAGGAATTAATTAGAAAAGAGATAGATATAATGAATCAATTACACCATCCTAAATTGATTAACCTTCATGATGCTTTTGAAGATGATGACGAAATGGTTCTAATCTTTGAATTGTAAGGCGATCAATTATCTTTCAAGTTGATTTTTAAAAATAATAATCTTATTGATCCTTTATCATGCTTTCTGATAATTTTGATTTTTTAGCTTGTCCGGTGGCGAATTGTTTGAAAGAATTACTGCTGAAGGATATACCATGTCCGAGGCTGAGGTCATTAATTATATGCGCCAAATCTGCGAGGGTGTTAAACACATGCACGAGAAGAACATCATACACCTTGGTTTGTTTAATAGAAAATATAGAAAAATATATTCAAATTAAATTTGCATTGCACAACAAATGAAAAAATACTAATAGGAAAAAGTGAAAATAATGAAAACGTTATTTTGCAGATATCAAGCCAGAAAATATCATGTGTCAAACACGCACTAGCACGAACGTCAAATTGATCGATTTTGGCTTAGCTACTAGACTGGATCCCAATGAAGTCGTAAAAATCAGTACAGGTACAGCAGAATTCGCAGCTCCTGAAATTGTGGAACGTGAACCAGTCGGTTTCTACACGGATATGTGGGCTTGTGGTGTATTGGCATACGTCCTGTGAGTAGATCACTTGAATATAATATTTATAACATTTAATTCTCTCTGTTAATTATAATTTCAAATAATGAAATATTTCTTTTATGTATAATTACATTTATTCTAATTGAAAAGTCTGAGTGGTCTCTCGCCGTTTGCCGGTGACAATGACATCGAGACACTGAAGAACGTAAAAGCCTGCGATTGGGACTTTGACGAAGAAGCGTTCCGGGATGTCTCTGAAGAAGGCAAAGACTTCATCAGGCGATTACTCGTTAAAAATAAAGAGTGGGTGCAATTCACGTTAAAGCCTAATAAAATAATTAGTAAATAGTCAAGTAAAAATTTGTTCAATCATTAATATTATTTTTGTAGAAAGCGCATGACCGCTCACGAATGCCTTCTTCATCCATGGTTAACTGGTGATCATAGTGATCGTACCAATGTTATATCTAGTAGCCGATACCTTAGCTTCAGAGACAAATTACGTGCCAAATATGATAACTGGGATAAATATGTTCTACCCATCGGCCGGCTAGCTGAATACTCGTCGCTTAGAAAATTATTAATAGAAAAATACAAAATCTATGACTCTTCCTTTGGTAAATTAATTTGATTGTCTCGTTGTTAATATAAATTCTGAATATTTATATATAATTATAAATCAATGCATGCATTTTATTTTCTAGATCGTCGACAAGCTGCACCTAGATTTGTCATCAAACCTACAAGCGCATTTGCATACGAAGGACAAAGTGTTAAATTCACTTGTCGAGTAATTGCCATTGCTGCTCCCGTTTTAACGTGGTTCCACAATAATCAAGAACTTCGACAATCTGTTAAGTTCATGAAACGTTATCATGGTGACGACTATACTTTCATTATTAACAGAGTTAAATTAGAAGACAGAGGAGAATATGTAATACGCGCTGAAAATCATTACGGTTATAGAGAAGAAGTTGTCTTCCTTAACGTACAACGTAAGTAGCGTGTTTGACCAAATTTGGATCAAGCTGCTATATTTCTATTAGAACATACTAGTGGCAATTAGTTGTTGATTGATTATTAATCATACGATAAATTTGCAGCACTGCCTGTACAAATTCCAAAATACAGACCAGAATTGCATCCGGTGCGCAGACGAGAACCACTTGGTTATAATGTATGGATGGAAACTATCGAATCAGCTCCAAACTTTACCTTCTTATTGAGGCCACGCGTGATTCAAGTCAGACAAACGTGCAAGCTACTTTGTTGTCTTGCTGGAAATCCACCACCAACTGTCAAATGGTACAGAGATAGAGAAGAATTATCTAAACACCATTATTCGATGACACACGCAGACGGTGTCGTCACTATGGAAATTATAGATTGTAAACCAGAAGACAGTGGCAAGTATCGCTGCGTTGCAACAAACATTCATGGCAAGGATGAGACAAGTTGTGTCGTTATTGTAGAAGGTAAGCCTGGAAACAGAGAAATAAGAGAAATACAATGGTAAATATAGGTGACAATTAATGATGAAACTGCAATCGAAGTAACAGTACTTCGCCACATGAATCGATAGATCGTTAAATTATATGTTTAATACACAATATGATTAAATATTTATTTGTAGGAACTGGAGAAACAGAGGAGCAATGTAAATTAGCACACGACCTTCTACATTCCGGAGGTAGAGCCGCTTGAGCGTGACTTCCCTTATTTTTTATCCCCTTTGATCCTTTACTATCTATGGAGTGACAAATGAGAAATTGCTGATAACGCTAAAGCAGTGTGAATAAGAAATCATACACTTTACGATTAATGATTTTGTTGCATGTATTTTGTTTTCATTGGAGAAATTCTTCAGCTATTTTTCATTTGTCACTCTGTGTATGTTTTGAAGAATTGAAAGATATAATTGCATCATAAAAATAATATATGTTATACATACATATATATAGTGCAGTCTCATTTCAAACGAATTAAATTTAAACTATATGAATAGCATAATATTTGCTAATGAAAACTATAAATTAGGTTCTAGAATGTGTTACTACATTTTCTAGTACAACGTTGATTAAACTTACTGCTAATCTAGAGACATTGTCAATAGATGCCTTCCAATTCTATAGCAGCCATTCGTTTACCTCATGATTCTATTCAGTTTGATTTTATTTGTAGACGCTACAAAATAAGCAAAATTCCCGCAAATATGTTCTATAGTAAATGCATACAAAAATGCGTGTAGAGCATGCTGAAAAAGTATATTGATTTCAATTATAATAAAATCTACGAGTCCTAATATCAAATAATTATCTTTAGATCGAAGGTTTATCGAACAACCACTGAAACCTGCACCACCGCCTATTGTGACTGTTCACAAATCTAGTGGTTATAGTGGCTATAGTTCTACTACCACACAAGGATATTCAAGTTCATCACACAATTATAGTAGTTCAACTACCAAACAGAATTCCTCGAGTTTCTCATCTTATAAAGTAAGCTTATTAAAATGCAAAATAAAATAATCAGACAAATAAACATATACATCACTATTAATGTAATTTGTAGGCTACAACCGAGTCTTCGTCAGATAAACGTAGTGTTAAGAAATATGGAAGTAAATTAGATGCTACAGGTAGCCCATCTCGGTCTAGAAGCACTACTAAAGAACTTGCTTGTAAGTATCCTAGAGATTGTAAAATGATAATTTTGGAAAGTAACATGTAATTCATATTTGTGTAGATCCATCAGATGATTCTATGAGACCACCAGAATTCACTAAAAAATTAAATGATCTTACAATTAATGACGGAGAACAGCTGGAACTTACTGTCAAAGTTGATGGTGATCCAGAACCGCAAATAACTTGGCTGAAAAATGGCAAAGTTAGTATAAATAACTTCTTTATGCAGTATAATTATTATAAACGATATACGCGAATACGATATAATATTATTATGTTATTATGAATAATATTTCAAATTCAATTTTATAGACTGTAAACTCCTCCGAGGTAGTTGATTTAAAATACAAAGCTGGTACTGCAACTCTTACTATTAATGAAGTATTCCCTGAAGACGAAGGAGAGTACAGTTGCAAGGCGACAAATAGTCTTGGAACATCTACAACGTCTTGCAAATTGACTGTGAAACGTGAGTAAACTGTATCACCTAACTTTGAATAATACCAAGAACGAATATTCATCAATGTAAAGAAATATTTTTATTTAATTCCTATTTTGTTTTTAGCGATGGAAAATGCGGCAGCTAAGAAAAAGAGTGATGACAAGCCACCCAAAATTGTAGATCATCTAACAAGCATGTTTGTGAAGGATGGAGAGGCTGTGACCCTCAGTTGTCGAATTATTGGTGCAAAGAAATTTGATGTGGTGTGGCTTCATAATAATAAAGAAATCAAGCCTAGCAAAGACTTCCAGTATACAAGTGAGGCTAATATTTACAAATTAAACATTGCTGAAATCTTCCCAGAAGATTCTGGCACATACACGTGTGAAGCATTCAATGATGCAGGAGAAAGTTTCTCGTCGTGTACATTGAATGTCCTCGGTAAGAAATCTCTTTAAGTTTCTTTTTTAAATCTATACTAATATACTCTCTTATGTTGTGTGTGTAATATTTTTGTGTAATATATAATATTTACTTGCTGTATAGTTCCCAACGAGGAACCCAAGAGCCCGGTCTTCACAACATTCCCACAATCAGCAACTGTGAGCGAAGGTGAAACAGTTACTTTCACATGCAAGACTGAAACTGCGCCCTTGAAAGGTAAGAAAAAATATCTTTATAAAATATCACTATTTTTTTTCAAATTCATTCTTAGAATATAAAAAAAAAAGTTATTTATTATTTTATATCATGGTGTAAAAGAGACATGAAAAATGATTAGAGGAAGTATGAACTTATATAAATATTTGTGTAAGATTATATCTATATTCTAAATTAATATGAAATAATATGATTATTTTATTTTAACAGTAACTTGGTTAAAGGATGGTAAGGCGCTCCCTGAAACCAGCAGCAAATACTCTTTCAGTTCAGACGGTGACAAATCGTTTGAACTAGGTATTAAGGCATGTACGGCTAGTGACGTGGGACAATACATAGCACGTGCAATTGGCAAGAAAGGCGAAACAAATGCAGCCTTTGCTCTAAACGTCACTAATCCCGGCGATCTCTAAACTCAAAATTATTACTTTTACAGCAATTTATATTATGGTCTTTTTTAGAAATCAGTTTTAATATACATCTACAACTTGCAATTCGGAATGCTTTCTGAATAAACATGAATCTTTTTAATTGATTATAATCTATACGAGAATATACGCAATATGGAGACAAAAAATGCCATATATGTATACGGAAGAAATATAAAACAATTCTGTAATACAGCAGAACTTTGGCTATCTGAATAATTGAGATATATGGATCTTCAGATAATAGATAATTCAGTTTACAAAAAGGAGAAGGATTAAAATAATCGAAGTTCTACTGTATGCGAAACATCACGTTTAAAATATTTAGCTTGCAAACAAATCATATTGTCAGAATCACGATACAGTCGCTATTCGTTATACGTAAATTATTAAAAAAAAAAAACACATTATATTTTTTTTTTCTGTGTGCTTGCCATATCGCATAAATCTTGTCATTTAAAGGTAAACCAATAAACGTGTCAAGCATCACGGATAGCACGCGCAACCTATACGCTAATATGAGCTTCGCTGTACACACGATTTAGCATATTTTAAGTACACAATGGTGCGTAGAGGCAGTCTAACATCAATGTGCCAAAAAAAGTTATTAATTCCGATAAAATAGCCAGCATCCTTCATTCATCTTAACAACAAAAACATTTTATCGGAATGCATGAACTTGTAACGGCATTGCCAAAGCGTACTACTTTATTCCACATAATTGAACGCACTGTCGTGTTATACTTGTTTGAAGACTGCTTCTATTACAAAATTTATGATAAATAAAAAACTTATGATTAAAAAATATAATTAAAATTTATTTTTATTTGTGAGTATTTCTAATAATACTTTCTATCTTTTGATATTCCTTAATAATGAATATTATTTTATCTAAGGTAAACTTAACATTGGTGTTTAAATATAAATTATAATAAAAAAGTATATTATAAATTACCTCATGTAGATATACAATGCAATGTACTTGGATTAATTGTACAAAAACTTCCTACCCTAGGAGTTAAAGTTAGTCCCAGTGAATCATTTTTTATTTCATCATCTCTTTGTAAATATGAATAATTACATGATTCGCACACTTTGGATAATATCGACAAAACACCTATGTCAGGAATAAATTCTTCTTCTAATAGATATTCATCACTCATAGTATGTACCATTGTATGATCCTTGTACAATTGTAAGCAATCATCACATATTTTTTCTTGTACATTACTAATTTTATGCAAAACTATTTCATTATTATCTACAAGTATTATTTCATATTAGTAACTAATTTTGATTTTCGTATATGTATATTATAATCTCTAATTTCTTTACTTACTGATTATAAATATTACTATTCCATAAACTATAAGAGATGAACGATATCTTGGAGGCATAATAATATTATTTAAGGTAACAATCTTCCATGATTCAAGTTCAGAATCGAATATGTTAAGAGATGTTTGCAACAAAAGTAATTTTTTATTCACGAAAGTATGAGGAGGAACTTCGGTAAACCATTCAGGTATATTTGTAGTTCGTTTCCATTGGCCTGCAAATATCTATTTGATACATTGTGAAACATGATATATATCCTATTTTTAAACATAATAACTTAATTAACCTGTATATATGTTCAACATTATAACTTTCAGTACTTTTACACGATGACGTGATACACCACCTGCCACAATTAAATTATTACCTATAAATCCGAGGACCATATGTCTTCTTGGGTAAGGAAGTCTAAAAATATATATATTAGAAAGTAAATGGTGATTTTATTATGAAATGACATTATGAATGAAGTTTAGAATATGATCCTTCATCACCTTGCAAAGTAATACCATTTTTTAGCTATAAGACAATATCGCCAAATGGTTTCATTAAATTGACCTGTTCCTAAACCGAATTCTCCACCAGCAAGATATATACTAAATCCTGAAGAAAAATAAGATTAATTCTATTCAATATATTTAAACTAATATTTCTTAGTTAATTTTTTATCATTTTTGTAATGCAAGTACCTCTGCCAGTAATTTGCTGACCAACTAAATCCCTTCCACAAACTTTTAAATACTTTAGTTCTACTAATTTAGAAAATTGGTTATCATTCCAACAACAAATATATTCTTTTTTATAACCATAATTTTCTATTTCGTATCCAATTACATATTGCACCCATTCAATTCTTCTTGTCCCAGCAATATTTATTTGGATATTATTAATTGTAGAATCCTAAACAAATTCATTAAATGACAAATATTTATTTTATAGAGTTTATCAATGGAAGCTACGCAGAGGTAAATAATTAATTTACCTTATTATTATTTGTCCATTCCTGCAATACATAATGCAAGTATTTCTGTGTTGACCTAATGTTATTATTTTGAATTAACTCTTTGAAATTGTTAATAGATAGTTCGATTAAAACATTAATGGGTAAATCCATAAAACGATCCAAGCATACAGACAAACAGATATCGCTCAATGGTTGTACAGCCAAATCTTTTGCCAATAACCAGATATCAATGACATTATTTGACTTTAACCAATACAGTACGATAATATCGGTTATATCATTTATTAAATTATCAACCAAGAAAAGTACAGCTAATTCTAATAAATTCAAAAGATCTTTAATGTTTTCCGTTTTATATTTCAACATTGAAGATTTAACAAAATAGCTACATTCCATTGATATCTCTGTATCATCTTGAATCCATTCGATGAAATTCTGAGGAACAAAATAATCTTAGCGAGTAAACAATGAGTAAATAAATTATTAATTAAGTCGCTCACAGAAACCAATGTAGTTAAGTCCACTCTCTTTATATTTCCTGATTTATGTAAATTTTAATTTAAAAAACTAATATTTTCAGTTATTAAAGGATTGACTCATAGCTTCGTTTTTTTTATCTTTTTTAGCTGCGAAAAGATGAATGTTCTAAAGTTTTTAAAATAATGCCATTGTCTCAATAAATACTTACACTTTTATTAACACATCCTGTGCATAGCTTGTTTCATTACAGCGCCTACTCTTTTAAACAAGATTTTCTATACTTTACTGATCAAATTAAGGAAACAAAAATTTGTTAAATCTATTATATATACAGAACATTAATTTTCTCAATTTTTATTTTACCATAGACTTAACAATATTGGTTAGTGAGTAACTCAATTAAGTATCATATGCAAAAAGCTACATATTAACCTGGAAGGTGAATAGATCAATATTATAATTAATAATATGTTCTTTTTTTGGCGTATTGTAAAAATGTGGAGAAAAAAGGCATTCGAAATAATGACTTTTATTAATAAGTTTTGTTTTATCGACTTCGAAGCGATTATCTTGAAGAACTAACGTAATTATTTCATATTCCATTGTATCAAACAATAATATGTATGTATAATGTACAAAATGATTGAAAAACTTTTGAAATAGGAAATCGTCTCACTGAATTTGCACTTTGTGGAGAACTGTTCAATATTTAATATATAAATAAATATTTATATGAGGTAAATTGTTAATATGTATATAAAGAATATGTAATGATCGCAATTATAACTTTACCGTTCTCGATAAGAAATCATTTTTACGAGATTTTGACAATGACGAAATTATCCTGTTCGAAGGTTAATCACTTCACAATATAAACAATTCATTTCTTATAATATCACATACACATATTTATTTAAATTACAACAAGTTCTCCGTATAATATACTTTTTTATAATCTGATTTATGAACCTAGACTAATTAATAATTTAAATGTTATACAACTATTAAAAAAACTTCCTAGATTAATAGTAATAACTTATTTTAAAATGATATTTTATCGTTATTTAATTATCACCCACGAAAAGGACAATAATAAAGCGTCAAAATATTCAATTAAATTTTAAATTAACTAACTATAAAATTTCAATGAATAAATAACAATCTCACAGTAAATGCAAAGAATGCACAAGTGCATAGAAGCTAAAAAATTCCCTTTTTTATCTAACCAGATTCATTTTAGTTACTACCGAGACCACCAGAGAGCGATAGTAGGTACTTAACGCGATGACAATACTATCAAAGAATACAGTATTCTTTGATAGTATATGTATATTCTTTAATATTATATATGGTATAGTTCTATTGTAATAAAATGTTAAATAAATATATTAAATTTTTAGTGTATAAACGTGCCTTCAGAAATGAGTCTATAAAATAATTTAAAAATGCAACAATTTTAACGATGATTACCTGTAACAAGAAAAAAACTATATTAATCATACAATTAATAATCCAATCCTAAAATACAAGTCGCCAAATTAGCACAGATGCACTATTAAATATAATTTCCTATTTATTTTTATCAAATCTTTATTTTAGGTTGCATAAAATTAAATTAAAACGCGTGATTTGATTATTACAATATATTATAATTCAGAAATAAAAAAGCTACAAATATTACAATACAAAAAAAAAGAATAAAATCTATTTTAATTATTGTGAAATACTTTTATACCGCGTTCTTTTTTTAAAAAAAAGGTATATTCAAGAACTGTAAAGATACAATGAATGAATCGAATGCAATCTCTTTTATAAATCGCAACTTAAATTTCAACAATTTTTCACTACTCCCTGGTATCTGTAAATACATAAAAGTTATTAAAAAACATTATAAAGTAATTAGTTTCTGTATATTAAATAGAAAAAGGAACCAAGGAGAGAAGGGAATAAGAATATTATATTAATTAGGGATTTCAAAGAAACTAATTACAATTATAATGTTTATGGTAAGCGGTCTTTGGCTAGATTTTACTTGCAATGGAATGTATAACATATAAAATATGTTAAACATTATACTGAAAGTAAAATACCATTGCCCAGGTCTAACCACGAGGAGGTAACCGCTTCTGAAGACCCGGGATGTGCATCCTGAAGATGTCCACATCCGAATTAAATTGAAACCAAAGAAAATGATAACACCGAGAACGATTTTAAATGAGCCCCACTCTTAAGCCCCACTCTTAAGCCCCACCCTAAGAGTTTAATTCGAAAAATCCTTACAGTTAATTACTATCGAAATTGAAGAGAAAAGTTTGAAAACTAAATGAGAAAATGAAAACGAGGAGTGCATCTGAAAAAAATTCAAGTTACATCAATGATTTTATTGAAAACTAATACACTTTAGTATAATTTCAATATATGCACATACGGCAATTATAAGTTAGGAATATTTTATAATTATTAATTTTCAATCTGCCTTAAATATAGTATAATAAAAATAAATGTACATAATTTATGGTGCATATCTGTAAAAAATAGAAATGAAAGTGCATTAAAAATAACTATCCTACATATGTGATGCTATCTGAAAAACCGTAAACGGATTTGAAATATTCATACACACACACACACACATTAACTTATAGAAATAATTATTTTCTGCTATCGTTAAAAATAACTCTGTTCATTAATGGTCATCTTTTAATCCACTTCTCCTTCCACTTGGACAGAATGTTTATATGAAACCATAAACTGATTAGGAATATTCACACACACACACATTTTTACTAATAGAAATAATTATTTTCTACTACCGTTTACCATTACTCTGTTCTCTTCTAGTCATCTTCTAATCCACTTCCCCTTYCTCTTGGATGAAATGGTTATATGAAACAATAAGCTGATAAAAATTATTCATTTACTTATAGATATAATTATTTTCTCCAACCATTTACCAGAACTCATTCSTTTTTCGGTTCATTTTCGCCTTCTCTTGGACTGATCTATGGTAACTGTAAAAATTTCGACTGAACCATGGTACGTGTAAAAATTTGGACTGATTCATGGTACTTGTAAAAACATGAAAGTGCATTAACAATGATTTTTCTCACGAGTTCGATGCAATATTAAAGTAATAAACATATTAAAATACTACCATTTACCATACCTCAGTCCACTTTTRATCCCTCATTCCCCTCGTCTTCAAAAGAATTTTGCATCGTCTCCATAATTCATCCTGTCAACAAAATATTAAACATAGGATCGTTTGGCAATGGTTGGGGGGTTRGGAAATTCTAGGTAAGGACATGATTTTCTTCCAATCAATAGAAAGAGGAGAAAATCAGGGCTCGCGTGGGCAGGGTCGAAGCCCTAAAGTAAACCTTTCTTCGCAAAAAAAGAATCTACCCGCTACCCATTGGAAGAAAAAACTGGAAACGAACCTGAAAAAGAAAAAAGAAAGATTAGTTTAGATTTGTAAAGATCCAATGAATGTGCATCGAAAGCATGTTCCTTTTTTAGATCAAAATCCAATACTTACAAATGCGTTGGAATTAATCATATCCTGAAACAAAATGAAATGAAAATTTAGTTTCAATAATTACTGATTAAATTTTACCATTGGTACCTAGAAAAATATTAGACGTATTAATAAAACATTATAACATAATTAGTTTCTACGAATGAAATGAAGAATGAAAAGATGAACGTGTGGATGATATGAAATTAGAAAATAATATGATATTGGAGTGGGAGTTCGGGAATGGTATTGTACTCTATCATGATTTTAAAATATTTTCTGTCTTTTAAATGAAATACCATTTAAAATAAAATTTTGTTAATACTCGATTTATTTTTAGGAAAAATTCTGTTCGATGTGTGGCGGGTGGTATGGCAAATCCCACGATGGTAACCTGAAACATTCAGCAAACTATGTTAGTTACTTCCATTCTTAAAAAACCACTATAAATTATTGACGAGCAAAGAAAAATCAAGCAATAAAAAATGACCAACGAGCTATTCTCAAAAGATTCAACCATGCTGTCGAACTTGAAAATAACTCATTAAGTC